TGGGCGAGGCGGATACTTCAGCAAGGCGCGCCGTGGGTGGAAGGATGAGCGAAGACCCTTTATGCTCTGCATCGAGGATCCGCACGATCCCTCGAACGACATCTCCAAAGGCTCCTTTGGCATCATCAATGTCAGGTCCACGCTGGCCGGCGCGTTCGACATCCTCACAGCAGCCATCTGCCAGCAGGCAAACGAGGCGGGTCCGAGTCGCAGCGCGCGCACCGATAGCGGGCGCAACAAGCACCGTCGCTTCTCGGTCGACTCGGATTCGGACTCGGACGCCGAGGCGCGCCGTGCGCTCGTGCGCGATTCGACCGCCGAGGGCGGCAAAGACGACAAGGACCCCAACAGTCTGCTGGGCACTATCTTGGGCATCTCGAACCCGGTCGTGCGACAGAGGAAGGAAATGGAGGAGCTCTTCTACTCGGGATCGTTGCAGTTCAAGCTTGGCCGACCGGCGCCACCCAACAGTCCGCCTCCGGCCCGTCCGCGCGAGGTGCGTGACTCGAAAGCAGATGCTCCTGACCCCAAGGCCCAGAGTGCGCGACAGGGCAAGCCGGGCAAAGACAGTAAGCCGGGCAAAGACAGCGGCGTAGTCGCGATCAGCGAGACGGCGAGCACGGGCAAGCGCGGTGCCATGCCTAGCCTCTCTATCCGTGGCTCAGCGAATGCAGCCAAGGCCTCTAACAGCGCTCCTGCCCCTGCGAAGCGCAAAAAAGAAGCTCGCGCCGAGTCGTCGGATGATGACGAGGTGCAATTCGTAGGAGCGCGCAAGGCGGGGGATGAGAGCGAGGAGGATTCGAGATACAGTGCGAGTCGTTCGGCAAAAAAGCGCACGCGCAAGGCCACGGCCGAAATCACGCAGGAAGAGCTCGAGGATCTGTCGCAGTCGGCACCCTCGACGTTTGTGTCGGACAACAGCGACGACGAACGAGCTGATGCTGGCATTCAGCTACCTACACTGGAGACAAACAGTGGCACCAAGGCATCGCCAAAGTCGGTGGCTGGCGCAAGGGGTATGACGAGGATCTCGTCGCGTACCAAGAACGACTTCTGGGCCGCAAAGGGCGTCGACACGTCGGGTGAGCCGTCGCCTTCGCCTCCTCCTGCAGAGCAGTAACGGCACACACGTTGAGACGGTGCACATCAATGCCAAAGCACTCTCCAAGATGTTGAGCCATGACCAACACCGGGCAGCTGAGAACAATAATATTGCAGAGAGAGGTGTCAAGTGGGTATGATTTATTCCCAGTCCGAGTCTTCGTCGGACTGGTGCGGTTCAGAGGGCTTGGTGGGTGTCTTTGCTGGCTCGGCAGACGCCGGCTCTGGCTTGGGCTCGGGTGCTGCGGGTGCGGATTTGGAGTCGGCGCCAGCAGCCGCTTCTTCGTCGTCCTCATCCCATGCAAAGTCCTCCTCGTCGTGAGCCGGTGCAGCTACGTCGGTGATCTTGCTGTCGGCTGGCTTCGGTGATGCCTGAGGTACCGGTGCCTCCACGGCCGTCTCCTTGGAAGCTTCTACCGCAGCGGAAGCAGATTCATCCTCTTCGGGCGGGACGATGCGGACGAGGTCTCCAACGAGCTCCTTCATATCCGACTGCATCTCGCGCGCAAAGTTCTCGGTGGCGTGCAGATACCTCGTGGCGAGCTGCTGAGACTCCTTGAGATCCAGGTGGGGCAGGTGCGACTGGATGGTGGCCGACAGCTTCGACAGCGACTCCTGCAGATTCTTCTGGCCCGGCTCTCCGTCTTTCGGCGATGTGACTCCCTGCAGTGTCGAGGTGAGCGACTGCTGCAGCGACACAAGCCGAGGGTCAGCAGTCAGCTTGCCGAAGAGCGTCGAGATGGATGCACCCAGTGTGGGGCCTTGCCCTTGCGCGCCCTCTTGTACCTCGAACGTCGTTTCGTCCATGGCTCGCTGCTTTCCCTTGCTCGTTTCGGACTGTGCGACAGACTCGGACGTCTGCTCGCCTTCGAGGTCAGAAGCAGTGGGTGCGGCTTGACTTTGGTCACGGGCCTTCTTCTGGGCTTCGCCGATGGACGTCTCGAGCTTGGCATACTCGGCCTTGGCAAAGTTGACAATGCCGCCGCGAGTCTCGACTTCCTTGCGCGCTTGTGCCAGCGAGTCCTGCGACTTCTTGGCGATCCCAGACCACCAGGAGGAAATGTTGCCCACGAGCTTTTCGACGTTCTGGTCGAGCTCGGTCTTGGCAGGCTGGTCGGCTTCGTTAGTCGAAGGCGTGGAGGTGCCCACGCGCCCAGCAGCACCCATAAGTCCCGGGTCGTAGATGTCCATCGCGTTCAATAAAGATAGAGAGAGAGAGGCTCGGCTTGATGAGGGTGGTGATGTTGCATGACAGCGTTGCGGGAAGGGGAGCGTGCGCAGTTGCGTGTGCAAGGTGCAAGAGCGCGTGCCCGAGATCCGAACCATGAGCGCAGCTGCAGCCTCAAAAAAAGGAGCTCGGAAGCTGTCGGAAGATCCGGCTCGCTTTGTCGTCCCGCATCCACCTACCTCGGTACATCACATTGTTGGGTCCACAGTCACCATGGCCAAGCTCCCTTCACAGGCGGCATGCCGCGCCTGCCTCGGTGCCCGTCAGACAGCCCAGCCGGCTCAGATCCAGGCGAGGGTGCCGCAAGTCACTTCGAGGTTGCACGCCCGTGCCCGCAGCCTCCACACGGCGGCAGCGCTGGCCTCGTCGGTGCGTTCGGCCGCCAGCCTCCATTCATCGCTTCACTCGAGAGCCTTCTCGTCCTCTCCGCTCCACAACTTCAGCGGGTCGCGGGTCTCCCACTTGCCGACCTCCATCACGATCCTAGGCAAAGAGTACCCGACCGACGATCATACCAACATCCCCGACTCGATCCTCTCGAGACTGGCGCCTTCGCCCACGCTGCCCTACACATCCAATCACCCGCTCGCACTGCTGCGTGACCAGATCGAGGCGTCCATCGGCCCGAACTACACTGCCATCCAGGCAACCTCGCCTGTAGTCTCCACCGAGCTCAACTTCGACGACCTCGGCATCGCGGCCGACCACCCTGGCCGAAGTCCGACGGATACGTACTACGTGAATCGCGACACATGTCTGCGCACGCACACGTCTGCACACGAGGTGCAGACGTTCCGCAACAAGCACGAGCGCTGGTTGTTGACCGCCGACGTGTACCGCCGCGATGAGATCGATGCGTCGCACTACCCGATCTTCCACCAGGTCGAGGGTGCGGCCATCTTTGCACACGAAGACTATGCACCCGGCGGCAAGGTGGAGCAAGAGTGCATCGAGATGGAGCGAAAGCTGGCAGGAGCCAACTTTGAGATTGAGGACGTCGTCGGGCTTTCGGAGGCAGGAGGGTACCAGAGCCACCACGACCCGCGCGAGGCGGCGTTGGCGGTGCGCCATCTCAAGGCGACGCTCAACGGGCTGGCATTGGATCTGTTCGGTGAGCGCCATGCATACGATGCGGCACAAAAGGGAGGTGGATCGGAGCCACTGCGCGTGCGATGGATCCCGGCCTTCTTCCCGTTCACGTCGCCGTCGTACGAGGTGGAGGTGTGGTTCCGCGGCAAGTGGCTCGAGATCCTCGGCAGCGGCGTGGTGCAGCAGAAGACGCTCGACAAGGCGGGCGTGCCCGATCGCCTCGGGTGGGCGTTCGGACTGGGCCTGGAGCGCATTGCAATGGTGCTGTACTCCATCCCGGACATCCGGCTCTTCTGGACAAAGGACCCGCGATTCCTGGGTCAGTTTGCCAGCGCACCCACCAACCAGGTCTCGGCAGCAGGCGGCAAGGCTACCTCCACCAAAGCCTCCAAGCCGAAGCTGCTCACGTTCAAGACATACTCCAAGTACCCGCCGTGCTACAAGGACGTGTCGTTCTGGCTGCCGCAGGAGCGCAAGTTCCACGAAAACGACCTATTCGAGATCGTTCGCGACCGGGTAGGAGACCTGGTGGAGGATGTGGTCAAGATCGACGACTTTGTCCATCCCAAGACGAAGAAGCAGAGTCTGTGCTACCGCATCAACTACCGCTCCATGGACCGATCGCTGGAGAACGAAGAGGTGAACCAGCTCCACTCGGATGTGCTCCATAGGCTCGTCGACCAGCTCGCCATCGAGATTCGCTAGCAGTGACATGTGCAATAGCCAACAACCCCCTCCACTCTGCATCGACACCTAGCTGACCACTCTGCGAATGGAATCGAGGCCGACGGGGAAGGGCATTGCGAGAAGTCTCTCGGGTGCGAGACTCTGGCTTGGCTGTAGCGATGGTCTAGAATGCGCATGCATGCTGATCGCGCCCAAGTCACGATTGGGCCAACCAGCAGCCAGCAGCAGCTCAAGGCGGCCATGGCGAGACCTCTCTGAGACACGTCAAAGGCCAGGCAGTGTGTGAGAGCCTGTGAATTCGCGCCCAGCTGCCTGCCTCGCCGAAATCCAGGCTTCGCGCTCTTTTGGGAATCCAACTTTCCAGGGTGCGGCAGCAGCGGCGGCGGAGGCGGCGGCGGCAGCAGCAGCAGCAG